AGGAGGAGGGGGAGGAGGAGGAGGAGGAAGAGGAAGAGGAAAAGGAGGCGGAGGCGGAGGCGGAGGAGGAGGAGGAGGAGGAGGAGGAGGAGGAAGAGGAGAGAGGAGGAGGAGGAGGAGGAGGAGGAGGAGGAGGAGGAGGAGGAGGAGGAGGAGACTGAAGCTCAGAACGGCACAAGTGCGTAAACATACTTTCTCGGAGCTCCGCGCGCACTGCTCCCTCCGGCGCCGCCCCTGGCGCGCTCCGGGGGGGTCCACCGCCGATCCAAGAGACCCTTGCGGACCTCGAAGAAATGCTGCGTGCGCCGTCTTATCGCCTTAAGTTCGGTCTGTCCCTCTCCAGGGGGAATTTTCAAAAATAGTGAAAAAGTAGTCCAGGGACGATTGTCTGACTATTTTTGACCATTTGGGAATTTTTGGGGGGTATTTTTTATTTTTCGTCCAAAATCCCCCTGTAGGGGGACAGGCCCGACCTAATCCTGGCCCTCCAGCCCTCATCCTTTCCACTCCTGCCCCTCTCTCGTCTGGGAGCGCTGCGACGGCCCTGGTTTTGGTGGCGTCCTCCGCTGCGGCGCCACAGCCGCAGCCTCGGCGCTGCGCGCCCGCTGCGAGGAGGGGGGTCGATGGAGGGCGAGGAGGGATGAGCACAAGGACGAGGCGAAGAATCAGCAGTAAGAAGCACATGGGGAGGAGGACGAGGAAGAGGAAGAGGAGGAGGAGGAGCAGGAGGACAGGAGGAGGAGGAGGAGGACAGGAGGGGGGGGCCCTTCCAGGATGAGGCGGCGCCCTCGTTCTCGCACCGGCCTGTCTTTGCACGCGATGTCGAGTCGAACCGCGCCTTGAGCGGCGCTGCGCGCTCCAGAGGCTCTGCACGATGCCCCTCCCTCCTTCGGGCACGGGGCACGAGCTCGCGCGGCTGCCGCACAGCGCACGCAGGCTGCACACGCACCGGGGGGGGAGAGAAAGCTCGGGAGGAACAAATCGTATATCAATGGCACGCTGCCGTCGGGAGAGCCCGTCAGGGTGTTGCTCTCTCGTCGTTTGTCAGGACACGGTGTGCCCAGACCTCCGACGTCATGAACATTATTACGTCACCCACTCGAGTTGTGGAAGTCGATCAATGGAGAGGAAGCATGCTGCCAAATAATTCCCAGATGTCTAAACCATGTTTCAAACATGTCTGCAATACATATCTACAAGCGTGCTTGAAACACTGTTAGAACATGTTGTTTCCACATTTGAAACACATGTTGAATTCAATGATCGGATTGTTGGAGTGTCCGTTGCCATGGCATCCACCACCCCTGGAGGCCTCGACCCGTGCCCCTGGCACCGGTGCCTCCTCCCGAGTCGTCTTGTTGGACGGCCCCGAGGGCCGGCAAGAATGGCCCCCCAGAGGCCGAGACCGGAGGAAGGAGCCGCCCGTCCTGATGTTTGTCGTTTTTTTTGTTGTTGTTGTTGTTGTTGTTGTTGCTGTTGTTGTTGTAGTTGTAGGTGTAGTTGTAGTTGTTTTGTTGTTGTTTTATATATGTTGTTTTTCTTATTTTTTGTTATAAAAAAGAAAAAGGAAAAACAAACAAATAAAACACAAATCAAAAAAACGGTGCATTTCAGCACCAGCAGCGCGCTGATCGGTTCCCCACGGCCGCGCGTCACCGATAATTAGGTCTGTGTCGGGGAAGCGCAGGATGCGAGTGAGCCGGGGCTCGGGTTTGCCGGCGGCTTTTGGTCGAGCGCGCCCTGGATTTTGGTGGTCCAGCTTCGCGGGATGTTTGCAGCGGGAGCCCGCGTCAAATTTCAGATTAGGCCTCGTCATTTTTATGATGGCCCCGTCGGGCCAACCCGACGGAGGAGAAGGAGGAGGAGGAGGAGGAGGAGGGAGGAGGGGAGAGGAGGAGGAGGAGCACCAGCGCCATGGAGGAGGAGGCGGAGGGGAGGAGGAAGGGAAGAGGAATAGGAGGAGGAGGAGGAGGAGGAGGGAGGAGGAGGAGGAGGAGGAGGAGGAGGAGGAGGAGGAGGAGGAGGAGGAGGAGGGGGGGGGATGATAACGTCCCCCGTACCCGAGTTTTACGTCTCCCCGATTTGTGTTTGCCGCCACCCAGCAGCGAGCACCCGGGCGCGCTCGGCGGGCCCTTCCTCCCTCCCCCCCCTCCCTGAGATCCGACGGCGCAGCAGCAGTGCGACATCGCGCAGCATCACGACCCCACGCGTTATCGCGTCGTAACAAAACAATCAGGTCTGCAGGTTTTTCGCGGGCCAGTCCCAGACATGCTCGCGTCGTAAACAAGAATCAGGACGGGCGGTTTTTCGCTATGTTCGGCCCCCGGGGGCCCTCGCCGGCCCCCGGGACCGTCGAAAAACGACTCGCAGGATGAAAAACCGGCCCCGGGGAAAGGATTGGGACTGCCGGGGATGCCGTCCGGGGGCCCGGACATGGGCGGGCATTCGGAGGACGCGTAATGGGGGGCCGCTAAATCGGGGTGGCAGCGAGGACTGCGGAAGAGGGGCCCTGCAGGGCCCCTGAAAGGGGGCCTGTAGTAGGGCCCAAGAGGGGGCCTGTAGGAACCTTTTTCCCCCCACACACTTCTGGCCCCCCCGTTGGTTCGCGCCAGCAGCACGCCCGTTATGGAGACAATTGCAGCGCCAGGATCTCAGGGCACGCCGCTCAGGCCGCGGCGCCGGCGGACCCCGCGACGCCAGCGGCAGCGGCACCCGCCGCGCCCGCGGTGCCTCCCCCGCCGCCGCGCTTCTGCGCGGCGCACGCGAACAGCTCGTGCCGCGCGAAGGCCAGCGCCCCGCGGGTGCGGCAGCGGAGGGAGATAAAACAGGGCTAGGATCAGGATAAATCGCTCCAGAGCGTTCCGGAGCGCTCTCAGAGCGTTCCGGAACGCTCTGGAGCGGCCGCGGCGCCCAATACGTCCTCCAAACCCGCCGATTCTCAGAGATTTCGAGTTATCCCGATCCGATGTTGTCCCGATCTTCGCGTCGCTTTGGGAGAAGGCTCGACAATTGGGCCTCCCAGGTGGGGTGCGAGAGCGGAGGGTCGGCGGAGGGGGGGGGAGAAGCAGGGTGCTCCAGGGAGGGCCTCGCTTCTCTCGAGGGCCGTTGCCGTCTTCTCTGCCTCGGCGGGGAAGGCGGCGGTTAAGTGCGGCGGCTGCGGCTCTCCCCGGCGGAAGGCGGGCAGGAGCTGGCGGAGGCAGAAAGCAGGAGGGGAGAAGAAAAAACACAGAGACACAATGAATCCTCGATTCCCCAGAGAATAGGGGAAAATATATGGGAAGTGGGGGGGAAGACAGAAACCCAGAAAATATTGATAAATATGGGAAGTGGGGGGGAAGACAGAAACCCAGAAGATATGGGAAAATATAGGGGGATCCTTTTGTTTGTGTGTATGTATTTGTGTGGCCCAGGGCCCCTTCCAAAAGATGCGCCCCGAGAGGTGGCACGCTGTTTCGGGTTCAGGGTTTCCGGAAATCCGGCAGGCGAGAAGGGGGAGGCCTCCTCGGGAGGCGGGCGGGGGCTTCTGAGAAGGCCTCCGGCCTTCCGAGAGGTTTTCTTCGTCTCGGGGGAAGGTTGCACTTCTCAGAAGGCCGGGGGGCTTTCGAGCCTTCTGAGAGGGCCCGTCCCTTCTTCTTCCCCCCCCCCGCGCTCGCCGCCTGCTCGAGGCCTCCCAGGTGGGGCCCGAGCTGACGGGGGCGAAGGATCGCGCCGCCTCGCCGATGCATTTGCGATGCGGCGCGATGGTGGGGCCCGATTCTCTCCGCGCCGACGTCGCCGAGGCACCGCCGACGTCGCCGAGGCACCGCCGACGTCGCCGAGGCATCGTCGATGCATCGGCGATGCCTCGTCGACGCATCGGCAAGGCGGCGCGGTCCTCCGACCCCATCTGCTCGGACTCCGTTTGGGAGGCCTCCTGAGACGAGGGGCTTGACGAGGACGGCGACGATGCGGAGGGGGCACGTCAGGGGAGGTCCAGTTGCGACAGCAGTGGTTGGCCTTCGGGGGGGGGGGGACCCTCGTCGCCGCGGCTGGACGCGGCTCGGAGAATTGGCGCGTTGGGACCCTGGACGAAGGATTGCAAACAAAAACAACGGATTGCAAAAAAAACCTTCGTTTTGTTTGCAATCCTGTTTTTTTTGTTGTTGCAATCCTTCGTTGTTTTGCAATCCTGGGTCCGGGGACCGATTTTGAGCTGCTGGTGTCTCAACTCGCCCTGCTCCGGAAGCGACGGCCGCTATAGTGCTCTGGAAGTCCTGGAGCGCATCTTGCGCCAGCCCTGTCGTGACGTCGTTCTCGCCCTGGGCGAGGAGGTGGAGGGGGGAACAAGCGCAACACGGGTGCGCAGAGGAACGTTGGACTCAGAGACTCACACACACACACACACACACACACACACACACACACACACACACACACACACACACACACACACACACACACACACACACACACACACACACACACACACACACACACACACACACACACACACACACACACACACACACACACACACACACACACCACACACACACACACACACACACACACACACACACACACACACACACACACACACCACACACACACACGCACGCACGCACGCGCACGCACGCACGCACGCACGCACGCACGCACGCACGCACGCACGCACGCACGCACGCACGCACGCACGCACGCACGCACGCACGCACGCACGCACGCACGCACGCACGCACGCACGCACGCACGCACGCACGCACGCACGCACGCACGCACGCACGCACGCACGCACACACGCACGCACGCACGCACGCACGCACGCACGCACGCACGCACGCACACACACACACGCACGCACGCACAAACACACACGCACGCACGCACAAACACACGCACGCACGCACGCACACACAAACACACACGCACGCACGCACACACACACACAAACACACAAACACACACGCACGCACGCACGCACGCACGCACGCACGCACGCACGCACGCACGCACACACACACACACACACACACACACACACACACACACACACACACACACACACACACACACACACACACACACACACACACACACACGCTTTGATTGTGCATTGCCTCATCGCTGACGTCTTTCTTCCCGTTGCACCCCCCCTGGCAGGGTCCATTTCCGATGCGATGTTATCCGCCTCGATTCCGATGTTCCGGCGATCCGATGCCGCCCCTTTCATGGCGCCATTGTGAATCCTGGCGCGGCCGATTCAATTTGACCCGATTTCGATTTCGTGCCGAGAGGAGGGCGGCGGCTCTGGGTCGTGGGAGGCAGGGCGGAGGGGGGCAGAGAGCTCCGAGCTCTGAGGAGGGGGGCGTGGCGGTGGGGAGGGGAGGGCGATGGGGAGGGAGGGATCGGGCCGGACGAAAGGGGGATCTGGAAAAGGGGGGTAACGAAGCGAAATCTGCTGCATGCAGCTGGCTTCGGTCCAACCGGGGGGCCCATTCCTCGATACATGGCCGCCTCCGACGCCGGGAGGCGCCATGAAAATCAGCTATAGTGAGCTGATTCTCAAACCCCCCCTTCGCTATCCCCCCCTTTGGCCCCGCCCGAAGGGAGGTGAGAGGAGGGCGGGGCAGGCGAGGAGGGAGGGCATGGGGAGGGCACGGGGAGGGGGGAGGTGCGCCATCGCCGCGTGAGCCTGCCGTCATTACCTCGCCCCCCCCTGTTCCTTCCCCTCCGCCCTCCCCTGCCCGCCTCCTTCGCCCTCGCCTTCCTATCCTCTCGCCTGTCCCATCCTCAGGGGGACGAAGAGTGACATAAACATACAAACTCGGATGCCCGCGCAGATCTCTCGGATCCGTGCTGGACACCCCTTGGCAGCGCCTCCGGGGCCGCCGCTGGTGCGCTCTGCGCGCCAGGGAGGGGGGTCCAGCACCGATCCGAGAAATCCGCGCCGACCTCCGAGTCACTCTTCGTCACTATTCGTTTATGTCGCTCTTCGTTTACGTCACTCTTCGTTTGTTTACGTCACTCTTTGTCACTCTTCGTCACTCTTCGTTTACGAAGAGTGACGTATGTTTATGTCACTCTTCCTTCCCCGAAGGATGGGACAGACGGGAGCATGGGGAGGCGAATGTGAAGGAGGCGGGCAGGGGAGGGCGGAGGGGAAGGGATAGGGGGAGGGGGAGAGGTAACCACGGCAGGCTCGCGCGGCGACGGCGCACCGGGCGACGCAGGCGAAGGCGCTTCGAATGCCGCGCGACAGGGCGACGCGGAAGCACGGAGGGGGCACGGCAGCGCCACGGGGCCAGACGGAACTCGGCTTTTGTCAGGAGCGGAAGAATGACGTACACGTACATGACTCCACGCTGGTCTCGAGGGCTCGCATGGCGCGACTGTTCGTGTTGCGCGGCCGGTCTCGCGGGCCAAGGGGCCGTGTTCATGTACACAGCTGGGCGCGTACATCAGTTGTGGGCTCCCTCTTTTGAGCGGTCGGGGCCGCGAGCGCTTCCGAGCCGGAGCGGTCGACGCGGCGTCCACAAGAACTTCTGCGGCGCGCCGGCGCCGCTCCGTCGCGAGCTCCGGGGCCCGAGGGCTGCCCCCCAGGGGGCAGGAAGCAGGCGCGAGGCGTGAGTCGGGCAGGGCCCTCTGCAGGAGGGATACTCAAGAGTAGTCCAAGTATAGTCTGGGGGCGATGTTTCCAACTATTGTTCGGTTTTACTGTTCTCTATCTTTCGTCGAGCATCCGTCCATAGGTCAACGGGCGAAGAGCGGTATAAGATAAACTTCTTCGCTGTCGGGGGCGCCGGTCCCTGGGCGGCTCGAAAGTTTACACCCTTACGGTGGCACCGTGGGGGTATCAACCTTGCAGCCGCCCAGGGGCAGGTGTCTCCGACGGCGGAAAGCTTATTTTATTCCATTCTTCGCTCGCTGAATATCAGGAGGAAGAGAAACACACAGACACAATTAATCCTCGACTCCCCAGAAAATATGGGAAAATATGGGAAGTGGGGGGGAAGACAGAAACCCAGAAAATATTGGAAAATATGGGCAATCTTTCTATTTGTGTGTATTTATTTGTGTGTCCTGGGGCCCCTTCAGAATAGGGGGACATGCCCGACCTAACACAGGGCCTCTTCGAGCCCAGCACGCCTGGGACGGGGCAGGCAACCACGGCCAGGCCGCTGGAGGGAGGACCGCTCCGGGCTCGGGCAGCGGCTCGCTGCTCTGGAGGTCCTTCCCTTCCAAGCTCAAGTCGGGCCTGTCCCTCTACAGGAGGAATATTCAAACATAGTTAAAAAATAGCCTGGGAACGATTTTTTGACACTTGTTGACTATGTTAGGGTATTGTTTGACTGTTTTTAGTTTTTCGCCGGAAATCCTCATGTAGGGGGACAGGCCCGACCTACTTCTAGGCCTCGTGGACAGGGTCGGAGTAGATGGGTCGGAGGATCGCGCCGCATCGCAGATGCATTGGCGATGCGGCTCGATGTGGAGCCCGGTTTTCTCCAAACCGACGTCGCCGATGCTTCGCCGACGTCGGCGCAGGCGCTGTTGGCGCCCACAAGATAGGTGTTCCTTATCTGGCCTTCCTTCTGGTAGTACCTCGGCTGCAGAGTGGAGGGCGTGAAGGAGGGCGGCAGTGAAGGCGCAGCCTTCACGCCCAAGGTCGGCTTCGTTGGTGTTGCCTCCTCTGCCTCCTTTTCCTCCTCCTCCTCCTCCTCCTCCTCCTCCTCCTCCTCCTCCTCTGTCTTGTCCTCCTCCTCCTCCTCCTCCTGCTCTTCCTCCTCCTCCTCCGTCTTTTCCTCCTCCTCCTCCTCCTCCTCGTCCTCCTCCTCCTCCTCCTCCTCCTCCTCCTCCTCTGCCTCGTCCTCCTTCTCCTCTGCCTCGTCCTCCTCCTCCGCCGCCCGCCCCCTGCCAGCCCGCTGTCCGACTCGGACGGCGGCGCCCAGCCTCGTGCCTCGTGCCTCCGCCTCCTCCTCCTCCTCCTCCTCCTCCTCCTCTGCTGTCCGACTCGGACGGCGGCGCCCAGCCTCGTGCCTCGTGCCTCCGCCTCCTCCTCCTCCTCCTCCTCCTCCTCCTCTGCCTCCTCCTCATCCTCCTCCTCCTCCTCTTCCTCCTCCTCCTCCTCCTCCTCCTCCTCCTCCTCCTCCTCCTCCTCCCGCCCCATATCAGCTTCAATGGTGTCGCGCTTCGCTACGTTGGAACGCCTTTTTCCCTTGCCCAGTTGCCAGGAGGGGCATTGAACGCAGTACGGCAGGACCGAGGTATAAGATCGAAGTCGGTTCGGGGAGGGTACCGTAGTGTTCGTCGTGGTGATTGGATGTTCTTGTGCATCCTGGGGAGGGTACCCTTGGCTGTTCTGTGTGTTCTGGCTGGCGGAGGATTTCGCGTTCTCGGAGAATGTTATTCTGTTCTAGCTCCGAATGGACTCAGGCACCCTCGTTCTGCAGTGCAGGAACACCCAATGTTGAAAGCAATTCTGAAACAATGTTTTTCCATTTACCATATGGCCGCTTATGTGTAACCTCTCATTGCCGCCGTTCCTGCGCGGCGAGCACGTTCCCCTGCTAAGCCGATGTGTCGTGCGACGTGACTTGTCAGTGAGAACGTGGGCTCGTCTCGTCTCGTCTCCTCCTCGTCCTCCTCCTTCTCCTTCCTCCTCCACCTCCTCCTATTCCTCCTCCTCCTCCTCCTCCTCCTTTCTCCTCCTCCTCCTCGTCCACCTCTTCCTCCTCCTCGTCCTCCTTCGCCTCCACCTCCTCCTCCGCCGCCTCCGCCTCCTCCCCCCCCTGCCAGGCCGCGTGGCCGAGCGCCCTGCGGTGCGGCCGGTGCAAGGCGCGCCCCGGAGGCGGACTCGAGACCCAGACCCCCTCGAGTCATGACAAAATCACGACGGGCAGTTTCTCACAGTTTTCGGCGTCCAGGGGCCCTTGCCGGGCCTCGGGGCCGTCAGCAAACGGCTCAGGATGAAAACACAACGGTCTGAGGGAATAGGTCGAGACCTCTGGGTGTCGATGTTCTGAAAGTTCATGACGGCGGGGGTCTGGAGAGGTATGGTCCAGAATCGGCTTTGGTGTCATTCCTGGTCGAAGACTGGCCTAATCTAGCTGAGTCCCGTTTGATCGGGTTTGAGCCCGCTCAATCTGGCTCAATCCGATTTTATCCGGTTCAACCTTGGTTTCGATCGATTGGAGAACGTTACAGCACCGTCTCCACCACCTGGCCCCCCCTCAAAAAAGAAACTGTCACGGACCACGCGTCTGACAGCAGGCTCCGAGTCCAGCCCGTTCCTGCCCAGTCTAGCTCAGCGCACATGCCCCCCCCCAGGATCTCCGGGCCCCAACCAGAGAGCCAGCAGTCCAGGTTCAGGTGCAGGCCCCCCCCCCCTCCCCCCTCCCGGTTCATGCAGGTAAACTTGCCGGAGCCCTACACAAAGAAACAGGCTCTGAGTTGGCATCCCTCCCCTGGCGGCAGTGCAGGGCTAGGGGGGTTGGAACACCACAGCCCTCGGGCCGCGCTTCCCCCCTGGCGAATCTGTGCCTTCCGTCCCAGCTTTCCGCCGGCGTCCGCTGGCGCCAGAAAGAAGTTCGAGCACCAAGGAAGTACCGAAACTGATGGGTTTTCGCGTGTCGGGCCCTGGGAGGCGATACTCGTTCGAAATTATTTCTGGGATGTGGTCCTTAGGTACGATGGGAGCAACATAACCCGAGGGAAAGTGCTCCTGAGGTTTGTCGCCGTTCTGGGCTTCCCGGGCCCTCCGCGGGCCCCAGGACGGTAAGAGAAAACAGCTCGAGCCGAGCTGGAGCTGGGGGAAGGCCTTGGGGTCCAGGACCCGTTTCCCTCAGGACCAGTTTCCCCCATGCTCGACATATTCAGGAGGGGAAGAATCACACAGACACGATTAATCGTCGACTTCCATCCGGGAAAATATGGGAAGGCATAGGAAGTGGGGAGGAGGACGAAAACACGGATACTAAGGGAACATAGGGGGAACCCTGGAGTTTCGTCTGTCCTTTTTATTTGTGCGTCCTTGGGCCCCTTCACGGATGCGCCTCCGCGAGGCGGCAACACGCTCTGGACCCAGGGTGCCCAAAGTCGCCCAGCGGCAGCCGTGGCCCTGGCCCGAGGAGAGCAGAGCCGGGGACACGGACGACTCGGTCTAGGCCGGAGCTCGGGCCTGCCGACGTGTTGTGACGAGGGGGCGTCCAGGTTTCGTGGGACGTCTGCAGGGGTCGGGGGCGGAAACGAGGGGCGTGATGATGAGGGGGGGGGGGATATCGTGGCGGGGGCCACGATATTTCCCCAGATCTCGTGGCGCCTCCTCTTGTTTCATGACGTCCCTGTCCCTGGCCCCCCCGCGGGGCCGCGCACGTGCCGCCGGTCATGATTTGCACCCCCCCTCATGGGACGCCCCCCTCTTGGCCGCCCCACCCAGTCTGCAGAGGGGGAGCCCGCGCCGCACTCCAGAGCGGGCCTCTCGTCGTTTCTCGGAGGGCCCCGTCGGGCCAAGACGAGTCCCCCCGTACTCCTCCTCCTCCTCCTCCTCCTCCTCCTCCTCCTCCTCCTCCTCCTCCTCCTCCTCCTCCTCCTCCTCCTCCTCCTCCTCCTCCTCCTCCTCCTCTTCCCCCCTTGCAAGAGTGCTGGCCCTGGCCGGGGCGTCGGGGCGCGCTCTCCGCCGGGCTCTCGTTGGGCTGCGCACAGCTCGGGCAGGGGGGACCGGCCACTCGAAAGCAGGCGGCGAAAGGCGTCCTGGCTCGCCTATGGGGCCCACCGAAGCATGTTGTGAGAACCTGTCTGGGAACCCCCAAACCGGGTGGTGAGATACCAGGTGGCGACCTGGAATCCCCAAAAAGGTCACCGCTGGGTTTGGGGACGCGGGGTCACCGCCGGGTTCTGTGTGACTCTTGGACCCACCAGTGTCTGGGATATCCTCGGAAAACCGCACGAGTCCCCAAACCGGGTGGTGACACCAAATCGCCCGAGACTCACCGCCAGGTGTTGTCACCACCACGTTTGGGGACTACCAAACTTTTTGCGGCCTGCGCGACATCATCTTAGAACACTGCTGGCTGAGCCTGTCTTGCTTTAACAAAATTGGGCCTGTGCTCAAAGAACATTTTTTCTGTCGTTTGAACATCCTTGTGTTCTAAGAGCAGTTCGTGGCAGGCCTACAGGAATGTGGGGACGGCCGGTCCCTGTTCAAGCTACAGAGTTGACGTACCCCCAAAATCGAGTTTCACGTCGAACTTGTCCCCGACATCATTGCCAAAGTTCTGCGCGTGTTCCATGGACTCGACAAGGAGCGCCCGTTCTGGGGTAATTAAATCAATGATGCAGTCGATCCCCTCTTCGAACCGCCTTCCCCACCCGTCCGGGGAATGTCCAGCTCCCTTCGCGTATGTTTTACTTGTACGCACGATTCCCCGGAGTTGGGTTTTTTGTTTTTTCCAAATTGTGATCTTGCTGAAGCGCTGGCCTCATTTTCGGGCTGCTGCTCGTTCCGAACAGTGCTCCCGCTGCAGCGCTGACCTAATTTCCGCGCTTGCGCTCTTTCCGAATCGTGCTCCCGCTGCAGCGCTGACGTCATTATTTCCAGCGCCATGCCACGACATGGTCCATGGTTTTCGGTCCTTCCAAATAGGATCCAAAATCTAGAAAATCCCCCCCCGAAAGAAGTCATCGGAAGCACTTACACATTCGGTGTCGATTCGTTGATTTGTCGGGCCGCAGAAGCTCCTCCCCACTTTGGGGCGTCGCCACGCCATGCTATGTTAGGCTACGCGTCCTCATGTCCGCGCTTCCGTTTTTCCCACAAAATGGTGTTATCGTTGAAGCGCTGGCCTCATGTTCGGGCTGCTGCTCGTTCCGAATAGTGCTCCCGCTGCAGCGCTGACCCCATTTCCGCGCTTGCGCTCGTTCCGAATCGTGCTCCCGCTGCAGCGATGGCGTCATTATTTCCAGCGCCATGCTTGGCAAGGTTTTCGGTCCTTTGCCCCAAAATCTAGAAAATGGCCTCCCGAACGAAGACGTCGGAAGTGTTTCCACATTCGGTGTCGATTCGTTGATGTCTTCGGGCCGCAGAAGCCACCCCCCACCTTGGGGCGTCGCCACGCCATGCTATGTCATGTTATGCGTTGATCTTCGACGCCATGCTATGCCATGTCATGCTATGCCATGCTACGGCATCTGATTGTGCGAAAAGAAAAGAGATCTACGCCATGGTTAGGGATGGGAGGGAGGGGTAGGACGTCAGACATGACGCGAGCGCACCTAGCTTGCCCCCCTCTCTCACCATCCTCCTCCTCCTCCTCCTCCTCCTCCTGCTCATCCTCCTCCTCCTCCTCTTCCTCCTCGGCCAGCCGTTCTGGCACAGGCAGGTAATCCTGTGCTTGCACGCGCGTACTTCAGAACGGCTCGCGCGTGCGAGCCAAAAGGCTTCCTTTCTCTCCTCACAGGACAGCGGGGAGGCCCGCGGCCGATTGCTAAGGCGTGGCCTTGCGGCAACTGCGCCAGGATCCATGGCGTGGCGTTCGAGAACCAAGGGTTCAGGACGTCCTGCTACAAGTGCGGCAAGCAGGCCCCGCGTCATGTGTTGGAGACCAAGAAGGAGTGGAACAGCTGGCCCTGGAGGAAGGGCAGCGGAGGTACCAAGCCAGAGAGGCCAAACCGCTGGGCTGCTGGCCCGCCATCCCTTTGGCGGGGCTCGCAACTCCAGGAGAAGGCACCTCCGACTCGTCCCGACGCTGCTCCCGTCGGGGATGCCAAGATCGTCGAGAGCGACCCCGCCACTGCCGCAACCATGTTGCAGAGCATGGCCAAGGCGCGCGGCGAGGACAGAGCGAACTGGCCCGAGGGGATCAAGGGCTTGGTGGTCATCTGGGACAAGGCGGCGCAGCAGTCCGAGGCAAAGGGCGAGGAGGCGCCCCAGCAGCCCGACTACGACAACATGTCATCCAGTTGGGCCAGCGCCTGCAGGGCGTCAACGAGAAGCTTGAGAAGGCCAAGGAGCGCTTGCAAGAGCGCAACCAGGAGCTGCAGGACGCTATTGCAGCTTGATATGCAGAGCAGGAGATCGTCCGCAACCACGAGAACAGGAAGCATAAGATCAAAGCAGCTCAGGCTGCGGCTTTCATGCGTGAAACCGCCGAGGGAGGACACGCAGGAGCTGGACATCCCGCTGTCGCCCTGTGTGGGCAGGTGGCCAGTCTGCAGAAGCGCCTGGGCAATACTGACCTCCCCGAGGAGCTGGAGGAGCCCTTCAAAGCTTTGCAGCAGGCGCTCGAGTCTCTCGAGAAGCAGCTGGCGGACCGTGAGCAGCAGCAGCAGCAGAAGGAGCAGACGGCGGCTGAACCTGCTGGGCGCCCCGCTGCTGCTGATGGTGATGTACCTATGGCTGCTGATGTCCCCGTGCCAGATGAGGACGGCCTCGAAGATGTCTTCAGTCAGGTCGGCCTCAAGCTGGAAGGGAATGAGTTTGACGAGGAGCGGCAGAGGATCAAGGCTGCCCGCGCCCGCATGCTCGAATCCATGGATGCCGCCAACGTTGCCGCCATGGCCAAGCGGAGGAAAAGGCAGCCCCCAGCTTCTGGACAAGACTCAGCAGAGAAGAAGTGATCTGGCTGGACATGTACATGGAGACTGGGGGCCACTACTGCAAGGACTACGACAATTACACCGTTCGGTGGGTTGGGCTTTAGATGGAATTGAGCAGCCGGCACGACAGCCACACGATACAGTGGGCGGCAGCGGAAGGCTTGGGATGGATTCCGCTAGGCAGTTTCACGATGCAGTGGAACAGTTATTGCACAGATGCCGGCGCTTGGGATTGGGATCTG